TTACTGTCAAACAATAACTGGATGTTTTTTTAAATTGCTGGGGCTGTTTGTACAAGATACGTAGGGTGAAGACTTAGATATTTGATTCTATGCATCATAATTTCAGGGATGGAAACATTTCGTCTTCTGTCCTAACATAGCATGAACTTCACTTTTTTTTTGCCACTAGTGGCATTTATTTTGAAAGAAATCCAACTGGCAGGGGAGGACATGGAACCAAGGAGCCACGTAGCAGAGTTGTAGTCTAGACCACCGAACCCAAGAACAAGCCAAGACTAAGACCAGCACCCTGCGCTACATGACACAATAAAATTAAGTTTTACATGTCAAAATTGCTTCTCAAATTGATCTGAAAGATCCACATTCCCATAAAAACACCTAGATATTAAATACTTAGAGCTGAAATAAATTTAACCAGTATCAATTCAAACTCTTCTTCATTCTGCTTTGTTTCCATCTCTGTGCCACAATCCACAGAGGTCTCCTGACGTCCCTAAAAACATAACGCCCTGGGCGATTGCCCATATTGCCAATGTCAGAAACCACAACTGTCTGCACCATTAAACATAGCAATTAAGACAATGCCCTAATAGTAAACGCTCCACAATGAACACTGTCCAAGGCGCAATAAGCAAGAAGTAACCAAGCAGAAGGAGCACTGTGACTGTTCTCACCCTCCCTCCATGTCTGCCACCATGACAGGTGACGAAAACAATTAAAGAGCAATGAGCATGCTCTGTGTTCTTACGTTCTTGTTTTATTTATTCGCCAATTAAATAAATATAAATATATTTTAATAAAATAAAATAGCTACTGCAGTGTACGCAAAGCATTACAATGGCTCTCAGTGAGGCTTCAGTCCTATAGGACTTCGTCAAGATCCGTCCAGAAGAATCGGATCTCTGAATGTCATATCACTATATTGCACTTTGGTCACAGCGTTGTCCCATAAATGCGACATGTCAGTCAACACCTCCACACAATAATTCAGCGCATGAGTGACAACTTTTTTTTCATCGCAGATGCAACATGTGTGTCTCAGTACAGCTAGCTTTGCTAGCATCACGTCCACAGATCTTACCTTTCTTTAAGCTTTCCTTCCAAGTGACGCTAAAAGTTGGACGAAGTCCCCACCGTTTGTGAAAGCGAAGCGCTGCTGATTTTACATGTCGCCATATCTTATGATTTATGCAGCGCTATTATACAACTGACGATCAGACAGACATCTTCTCCCGCTCAGAGGAAACCACTGCGCATGTCTGGAGCTCCGCGTGCGAGTAAAGGTGGAGGCGATGGGTGACAGCAGAC